AATAGATATAAATATGATATGGGCCTTCTCTACTTACTTGGCTGGCATAATTTCAAGTGCGAATTTAACATTCTAATTTTCAACTTTATTTGATTGAAGTCCCAGAGCACCAAACCCAAAAGATACTGAGCACATATTTTTTTTCCTTTTCAAAAAAAATTTTAATAGATTTAGTGGGTATAAGTTGAACTCTGTTACAAGTATATTTTGCATAGTGGTAAAGTCTGGGCTTTTAGTGTGCCCATTACCTCAATATGGGTGCATATGTATTTCATCTACCTTTGCTTCTTTCTGTTTTGCAAAGTTCTGAATGAGCCAGCCCTCAAGAAAGAGTGGGCTAATATTGCATCCCTGACCTTGCTCCCCAAACATTAGATAGATGGAATAATGGAAGCTGATTACTAGGGAGGAATGAGCTTCTTCTGCAAATCAATAACAAGCCTTTGAAATCATAATGAGAGTGGGAGGAGTTTTTTGTTTTGTGTGTGTGTGTGTGTGTGTGTGTGTGTGTGTGTGTGTGTGTTATGAGAGAAGTGGGGGCAGGTATAGAGCCTATTGACTGTTCCTTAAATATTTGTCTCTTAATCTGGACCTTCCCTCTATCTTGAGTTATATGTTTATTTTCCCATTACATGTCACATTTGTAAATTTTTAAATTATTTGGGTATGAACACCTTGGAGGTAAGAGTAGTCATTTCCCCCAGCTTATTGATGAAAATGAATAGAGAATCCTGGGAGATGGTGATAGAAAAGGCATATGGGGGAAAATGACTAATGGTTAAAAGGAAAGAGAAAGACAGTATAGTGAGAAATACAATTTAGCTGGTCACTACATTCTTTTCTTGGGTGGGAAACATATTCTGGAAATCAGCTGAATTTTAAGAGTTCTTCTGGAGTAGTGGAATCTGATCTTATGGGATCTTACCAAGCTGTGATAACTGGATTAGTTATTCTTCCCTTTAAACACATACTAATATTGGATGGATGAGTCATTGTGCTAATGACCTTCATGGTATTACATAATCATTTATTGATTGCTCATTTATTTATGGGGGCTGTGATTATTTCTGTGGGATCCCCCTCTCGAGAGCAGGGATAAACGCTACTGGCCAGAGATTTCGTTGGAACATAGATGAGAAAAGCATCCTCTGCCTGGTCTGCTTTGGGATTCTAAGATGACATTTAATTATTCTAATTTACATTTGTTTCTAAATGACTATAATTTTTTTTTCTTCTATCTTATTTCAGAAGTGTTTAGATTTCCAGGTGACTAGATTTGGCAGGTGGGTAGCTTTGAGCTGTTAAAATCTAGTGTTATTGCATTGTGGTCTGAATTCACTGCCTGCATGATATCTTTTTGTCGTTTATGAGATTTTCTTTATGGCCTAGTACATGATCCTTTCTATAAATCTTTCTTTTAAAAGAATATTTGTATCTTTTTCAGGGACTGGCTATGTAGACTAACTTTTCTTATGTCTTGGAAACTTTCCAGACTCTACTCGGACATTATTCCTTCTCTGATCTGTGGCTTGTCCTGCCTTTTCACATTCTACACTTTCACATTCTCCTGGGGCTGGGGGGATGAGGGAGGAGGTTGGGAGCAGCATTAGCTATATGGGGCAATCTGAGGGCCAAATGTTATAGGAGGAGCCCCTGGCTAGTTAGGTCATCCTTCAGCATGAATGAAAAATTTTAAAAAATTGTTACTATAAAGGAATTGCTTCTTTAAAGGGAATCCACCCCCATTTCTTTTGGTTAGTCTTGACTGCTCGAGTTTTTTTTTTGTTGTTGTTGTTGTTGTTGTTGTTGTTTTGAGACAGAATCTCCCTTTGTTGCACAGGCTAGAGTGAGTGCCATGGTGTCAGCCTAGCTCACAGCAACCTCAAACTCCCGGGCTCAAGCAATCCTGCTGCCTCAGCCTCCCAAGTAGCTGGGACTTCAGGCATGGGCCACCGTGCCCGGCTAATTTTTTCTATTTATATTAGTTGGCCAATTAATTTCCTTCTATTTATAGTAGAGACGGGGGTCTCGCTCTTGCTCAGGCTGGTTTCGAACTCCTGACCTTGAGCAATCCGCCTGCCTCCCAGAGTGCTAGGATTACAGGCGTGAACTACTGCGCCTGGCCAACTGCTTAAGTTTTTTAATTTAATGAAAGGAAGTTATTTTAGAAGAATTTAGTCTGTGATAAAGAATAAATCACAACTTTTGCTCTGTGTGTTCATCTCTGGGAAATTGGCTGGAGGGGACACAGAGAAGGGGTTTAGCATGATGCTTTATGAATGGGAACATGTTGGAGATTAATTTGTTGATTTCTTTCTACTTTCTTCCTCCTCTTCTATCTTTGCACACACCCTGTTTCTGGCATATGGTATTACTCTGGCCTTTCACTGTATTTGTATGGTGGATGGTGGTGACGAGTCCAGGCTCTGCAGCCAGTCTTCCTGGGTTTGATCCCTGTCTCCATTGCTTATTAGTTGTATCACTCTGGGCCAGTCACTGAATCTCTCTGCGTCTTGGTTTACTCATCTATTAAATTGGAAATAGTACCTACTATTAATGTGTAGGATTGTTATAGGGATTAAATGAGATATCATATTTATGTTTACAATAGCGCCCAATAAATGTACCCAGAATGTTCAATAAATGTAGAGTTCCGATGTACAAGTGGATAGCCTGTTTCACATTATCTGTGATGTGACAATTTGCATAAAGAGTAAATTTCAACTGTGTAACATTTAAAAAAAGGACTAAGTGTTAAGTGTCTGAATTCTTTGAATTGCTAAATATACAAATCTGAGTATTATTGCAATGACTGTGAACATTAATTGTTATTGTTATAGCTTAAATGATCATTTGCTTTTGGAGGAAAGGGTATAATTCATAGATACTTTCATAATTCATATGTGCTAAGTTAAGGAGTTTTCCATGTAGATTGTCTGGTTCAAAAACTGAATTCAAAAACTGAATTAATTAAATTTTTCCCTGAAGATTTTAACCTGTAACTAATGTTATGTTAATAAGCTTTTTCTTGCTCCCTTTGCAGTATCCCATTCAGCTTCCAGGTATGGGGTCTGATTTATAACTCAGAAAATCTCAGTAATTAACTGTGATGGTTGTGTGTGTGTAATTAGCCATTGGTTAAGGATATATAGTCATGTTCATAAGCAGCTTTATTTGATTTTTGTTTATTTTAAAAACCTGAAGCAGGTAGCACTTAAAACTTGGTTTGACTGAATTTAGTTCTTACAGTCTAGGGATAAATGGTTTAAAACTGGTCTAATCTAGGGGCATAGAATGAGACATATATCATAACTGAACTTAAATCTTGAAGTATTTGACTGTAAGATATTAATATATTATACCTTTGGGGACCTATAAGAGTGATAGGAGAAGGGAAACTCACTAGTTAATAATTTCTAAATTCACAACTTAGAGTAGCAGTGATGCTATATACCTTCAAATATATGGACTACCTCTTGTTTTCTAATATCTGGTAGAGAAATCCTATGTTTTCTGGTCTTGTATCCACCTTCATCTAGGTTTACCCTGGCAGTGTTTTGTGGGTATTAATTACCCGTGAGGTCCTGGGTAGTTGGGCTGGCACTTGAGTCATGGGATATAAGGAGTGGAGGGGGGTTGTGGAGAGGAGTCACGTAGATTCTGTGACTACGAGGCTGGCCCTCACTTGTCTCTGCTGGGCCTGCTGGTGGCTGGAAGGTGGGTACTGTACTGTACGCTGTTGCACTGGCCTCCGGGGTGTAGGCAGCCCAAACCATGAGGCAGTGCTAAAACATTTACTAGAAAGTTGGTAACTGAGGGTGGTTGCAAGTGACTGGCCAAACACTGTTAGAGTCCTTCTTGATTAGTACAAAGGGAATGTGGGAGTGTGGTTAGAGATCCGGGCACCGTGCCCAGCTCCATAACTCATTCATTGTGCGACCTCAATGATTGTCTCTAATTTTCTTTGTGAAAAATGGAGAAGAATAATGCCACCTGCTTACTTCTAAGGGTGTTCTGAGGATTAACGAGTTAATCACCCTGGGTGAAGGCAGCAGAGCCTACTCTGGTTACAATTTTCATTGCCTCTCCAGGGAAGCTCCAGTTTGGGACAATGAAATATTGGAATGAAGATAGGAGTGGAGTGGGCTGTCTACAACTTAGTGTATTCCAAGTCCAACTGTAGATCAGGTTTCTCTCTAGCTGGTAGATTTTAACTAACCTAAAATTTCTACATATTTTTTAGAAACACCACCAAACCAAATGTCTGACCTGCTGTTTGTAAGAAAAGAACAGATGTCTATTCTGAGAACATATTAAGAAAGATGTTAGCGGTTTTCTCCCTCTGTAAAGGAAGGAGATGGGTCAAAAGAGAAGCTTGTAGATTTAAGTAGAATTTGCTTTTATTTTCCTGTTACTGATGTGCTCTTTTTGAGAGAGTTGGTATTGTTTCATTTTGCAGATTTTTCAAGTTTTTTTTTGACAAAGAAACTTCATAGAGATCAAGCCAAAACAAAAATATAAACACACAATTGCCTTAAATACCAAGGATGTCAGCATGAAATTAAAATGAATCGACTGACATTTCTGCTTTGAAATTTTTTAGTAAAACTAATTTAAGCCAACAGTAGAAGCTTCTGGCTTCACCTTATAAGGGAAAGTTTGACCTTTTTCAGTGTTTTTGGACTTAAGGGTATTGACATCGCCATGTTTTTGGTTAAAATTTGCTTCAAACTTCTAAAGGCTTTTGGGATTTTGGTTGATCCTTGGTTGCGGAATAGCAAATACAGTCAATTTTGTTGGTACAATGTAGTTTACAAAACGAAGTCTCTGAAGTAGTGGATATGGTATCCCTTCCCCACCCATGTGTAACTGTTAAAAAGAACACTGTTGTCATGTGAATTCTTATTTTTTTTAGCTTGCTTTTGAAGTAACTTTCACAGAGAATTCCTGTTACCTGGAAATTGATGACAGACTTACACCATTTCCTTTTTTTTTCTTAGACGTTCCATCCTCAGAGCAGCCTGAACTGTTCCTAAAGAAACTTCAGCAGTGCTGTGTCATTTTTGACTTCATGGACACGCTATCTGATCTTAAAATGAAAGAATACAAGCGCTCCACTCTTAATGAACTGGTGGACTACATTACAATAAGCAGAGGCTGTTTGACAGAGCAGACTTACCCTGAAGTAGTTAGAATGGTGAGTTTCTTTTTTTCGCCGCGGACACTTCTAAGCATCTTCCATAGCGACTCACAGGTGTATTTATTGCAGAGTGAGGTCATTGGAGGTTACCTCCACAAATGAGAGCCAACCTTCTGAGAGCTAAGCAAAAGTAGTCAACACAATACTAGAATTTGAAGAGCATGATTTCATGAGAATGAAATCCAAACTTTCAACTACAGCAGTATTGAAGCAATCAGTGACTTCAAGATACGAAGCCAAGATTGCCTGGGTATTATTGGATTTCTGGCTTTGTGGGGGGGAAAAGACACAGGAAAGTAAAAGTTTTAGATTTGTGTTTAAAAAATATTCAAGCTTGTTGGATGTCTTGATATTTCTTTCCTTACTCACTGTGGTATATTAGAAATGGCTTTATGCTTAATAAAATTGTGACTTGTAGAATCTAGTTAAGGCCTCTCTTGGCTTTATAACTAATCCTTTTTATAATCTCCTTGAAATTGGGGGTGATGCCTTTCATGATTTTTGAACAGTGTCTTATACTTTGTGTGGTCATTAGGAGTTACACGAGGACACATTATTAGCCTAATGAGTAATTATGTTCTTACTGTGTCAACGATTATATTAGTTTTTCAAACACTGAGCCAAAATATGATAATCTATTAGATTTCTGTGGGAGGGTTGCCTTCCTTGGCATCCTATCCTAGAAGATCTTGGATGTAGAGAGTGCATGCTATTTGTGGGTGGGCTGGGGGAGGTGGCTGGTCTACTGACTTCTAAAATAAGCCATGGAGATCCAAAAGGGTCAGTGCATCATTGGGAAGCCCATTGGGGCATCTGGAACACTCCCTGTGTAGTGCTGAACGTCTATGTAGCCTTTCTATTTAGCTCTTACCATTTGTATTCAGCCAATGCAGAAAAGAGACATTTGTAATGGAGTAGATATGGTTAAAAATTATAGTTCAGATTTGGGGAGGGGCTTGAATGATCTCAGCTTGAAAACCTATGACTGATGTTTGAAAGTATTTTCAAAACATTGGCCAATATATTCTTCAGATCCGTATCTGAATTTATATTGGTTTTGTTGTTAATTTATAGAAATGTAGTGCTAGGATGTTGTGTAGGTTAATAGTTATCATTGTGGCTCTTGAGCAGTGCTTCTCAACCAGGGATGATTTTGCTTTACAGGGGACTTTTGGCAATCTCTAGAGATATTTTTTGGTAGTCACAACCAGATATGGGAGGAGGCTGCTACCAGCATCTAGTGGGAGAAGCTAGGGTTGATGCTAAAAAATATTTTACAATGCACAATAGAACCCCCACTGTAAAGAATTATCTGGCCCCAAATGTCAGTAATGCCACTGTTGAGAAACCCTGCTCTTGAGTTTGCATGTTATCTAAACCTCTAAACCTGATACTTAGGATCTTCTCTAGGCTACCTGCGCTCTGCAGAGCACAGTCCCTGGTGTTAGCTTATCTGCATCCTCAGCCAACAGCAATATCCACTGTTTACAACTTTTTTCTGTCTCTTTCCATGGGTAGTTAATGAGTATATAAGCATATACAAACATATATATATATATTTTTTTTTTTTTTGTAAACACACAAATGGTGGTATGCTATACACACTTTTTGTACCTTGCTTTTTCCACTTAGCAATATATATAAGTACATACAAAGTTGTCTCATTCTTTTTATAGCTGTATAATACTTATTGTATGCATGTACCATATTTAAGCAGTACCCTAGAGTATCCTCATGCACACATCAGTTTGCCCTTCTGTGAGAACATCTGTGTATTTGTTTGTTTGTTTGTTTGTTTATTTATTGTTTGAGACAGAGTCTCACTCTGTTGCCTGAGCTAGTGTGCTGTGGCGTCAGCCTAGCTCACAGCAACCTTAAACTCTGGGGCTCAAGTGATCCTCTTACCTCAGCCTCCCGAGTAGCTGGGACTACAGGCATGCACCACCATGCCTGGCTAATTTTTTCTATATAGTTTTAGTTGGCCAATTAATTTCTTTCTATTTTTTAGTAGAGATAGGGTCTCACTCTTGCTCAGGCTGGTTTTGAACTCCTGACCTTGAGCGATACTGGGAGGCCTGCCTCGGCCTCCCAGAGTGCTAGGATTACAGGTGTGAGCCACTGCCCCCGGCTGTTTGTTTATTTTTTAAGATTTTATTTTTTAGAATAGTTTTAGGTTCACAGCAAATTGGCAAGAAGGTACAGAGATTTCCCATATATCCCTGTCTGCATACAGACACAGCCTCCCCCATTATCAACATCCCCTACCAGCTTAGTACATTTGTGACAATTGATGAACCTTCATTGACATATCATTATCCCCCAAAGTTCATAGTTTACATTAGGGTTCACTCTTGGTGGTGTACATTCTATGGGTTTGGACAAATGTATAATGTATGTAACTTACAGCCACCATTATAGTATCAGAGTGTTTTCACTACCTTAGAAATCCTCTGTGTCCCACCTTCTCATTGCCCAGCACTTCCAAGTCCCTGGCAACCACTGATCTTTTTACTGTATGCACAGTTTTGCATTTTCCAGAATGTTATGTTATTGGAATCACACAGTGGTGGTGCACTCTTTTCAGATTGGTTTTTTTTTTACTTAGTACTACACACTTAAGGTTCTTCCATGTCTTTTCATGGCTCATTTCTTTTTAGTGTTGAGTAATATTTTATTGGATGGATATACTATAGTTTATTTATCCATTCACTTACTGAAGGATATCTTAGTTGCTTCCAAGTTTGGCAATTATGAATAAAGCTGCCATAAACATCCATGTGCAGGTTTTTGTGTGTGCATAAGTTTTCAACTCTTTGGGGTAAATACCAAGGAGTGCAATTGTTATATTGTATGGTAAGAGTTTAAGAAATATGTTTAATTTTGTAAGAAACTACCAAACTGTCTTCCAAAGTGGCAGTACCGTTTTGCATTCCTACCAGCAATGAATGAGAGTTCCTTTTTCCCCTGTTTCTTAGATCTTCATGTATTCCCCACCTTCCCACCTCTAACTGTATTTCTGTTTTCCCTTCAAGGGCTGGCTTATGGTGCTGCTGTTGTTTCCTGAAAAAGCCTAGTGCTTTCTCTTTCCTTCAGTTCCTCTGCAGCTTGGCAACCTACCCTTTTGGAGTTTGTTCATTTGTTGCTTTTTATCCTTTTACATATTTTTTCTGATTAGACTATAAGCACTTTGTCTCCTGCACATCTCTGCCTTCTTGCCTAGGTCTACTTGAAATTTGTTGCATGAGTGAATGAATTCCCTCCTAAAATAGAGGCATTTCAAGCCTTCAAATTATGATTAAGATATTGAATGTCATTGGATTATATAGATTTTAAACCTAGTATTTAGCATAATCCAAAAATTCTTTCTTTCTTACAGCCAGCATGGTCCTAAACCAGCTTTGATCTCCTAAGGAAAACCATTTTCTTTTCTCCTTTATTCCCTCACTCCCCAGCCAAAGAAAATAGAGACTTCTATCATTTCTATATGTTTCAAAATATACTTGAGCCTTACTTTAGGAGGTGTTGAGTCTGTAGCACACATTTAGAAAATTAACTTTGTAGATGGTAGTTTAGGGTTCTTGGAAGTATAATTTATTTTTTGTATCTGGTGATTTGTAAAATTGTTAACTACTAATTTTGTATGGTACTTAAACAACCTGGGGCATTTACAGAGAAGTATTGTGATAGAGTAGAAAGAGAAAAGCCTTTGGAAGCACGCAGACCTGGGTTCAAATGCCAGCTCTGGCCATAACTGATTTGCTCCATCAATGTGAGCAAGTTATTTTATCTTTGGGGCCCTCAGTTTTGGTGTGGTGGTAAGAGGTAGATAGGGTCAGGGGAGAGTGGCCATACTTTCTCCCACCCCCATACATAAATAATTCCACCTAAGTAACATGGTTGTTGTGCCTTTCTTTATACATCAGGATTCTCACCATCTCAAATACACATATAGTGCATTTGCACACACATAAAAAATGTGTGCTATTACTCTGTAAGAAGCATTGGAACCAAGTCCCACTGGGTATACCCTACTCCTTTCCATTGTGCCACCTGTAAGCCCCTTGTATGTAGAAATTCTGGTGCTGCTCAACTTTCCTCATTTGTATCATACCTGCCTTTTGGGGATATTGTGAGGATTAGTGATGATAAAGCTATTGGAACAGTCACTAACACATGGCAGATATTCAGTAAATACTACTATTCTTATGTTTTGGTGATTTTGTGATTAGATACTTGATTTTACAATCATTAGTGGAACCCACAGTTCCTGTTTGTGGACTTAAAATGCTCTGCCAATGAGATGTATTGTGTTCCATTGTCTCGTTGGTTCTCAAATTCTGTTATTCCAAGTTGATCCTGCCTGTTGAACAGTCGTCCCCCCCCACCTATTCTTTCTTGTTACTATAAAACAAAACTACTTGACTAGTATTAGTGAGGGAATGGTAGTGCTTTTAATGAAATATCAAAGAAGCTGGGTTTTACAAACTAGGATAAGTAATGACTTATGATAACCTGTTACAGCATTAATACCAAAAGCCTTTGATCCAGCCTGATGGAACCTATACTTAGAGAGTTGGTAGTCCTGTTAGTGGAAGAAAAGAGTGATGAATTGAAGTGATCTATGAGTTGTGGAAACTATTTTTAACATTTAAATTCAGTCTGGATACCACCTGGAAACTGCTAGAATTAAGAAAGAAAAGCAACTCTTTTATATGCAAACAAAATACAGGCATACCTAGTTTTATTGTATTTCACAGAAACTCTGTGTTTTTGTTTTTTTTTTTAACAACATGAAGATTTGTGGCAACCCTGCATCAAAGCAAGTCTATTGGCACCATTTTTCAAATACCATGTCCTCACTTCATATCTCTGTGTCACGTATTGGCAATAATTCTCACAATATTTGAAACCTTTTTATTATATCTGTTATGGTGAGCTGTGGCCAGTGGTCTTTAACATTACTATTGTAATTATTTTGGGGTACCATGAACTGCCCT